GGATGATGAATCTTTTCCGCTTACGTCTTGTAACGGTTGAGGTTGAAGTAAGCGCAATATAAATAGGCATAATCAAGCGTAGCCATCATTTTTATGTTGTTACGAGAAATGGTTCATACTACTTAGTGTGGCAATGTTTATATATAAATAAAATAACCGAATCGAACTATAAATGAAAATGTTTTTAAAATAAACTTTTATGAAAGTGTGCTTAAAAATTTATGGTCATGAGCGAATTAATCGAACGTTTAAAAAGACAATACTGTGACAGAGAAAAAGAACTTGCGGCTAATAGTTGGACACTATCTCTTTTGCCGCTTTTATATCTTGACAGTCTATATAAGAATGGCCTTGTGACGTTAGCAATGCTGGTCGTTGCCATCAAGAATTATGATATTTTTCGTCAAAGTTAGCTAAAGGGCATTGACAGCAATGTTGGCTTGTTTGACCCGCTTACGTTTCCATCCGTATAATTAATCTTTACATTGCCTAAATAGGTAGGCATAGAATTTCTAATATATTCCCAATTTATATGTCTTTGATTCCAAAAGCTTGATCCTTTTGTGTCCTTAAGATCAAATGTAGTTGGCAAAATATAGGCATAACGCGCAATAATCGAATCACTAACGTATGAAAAATATTCCCTTCACTTATTAAGGAAAATACATTAAACGCTTTCACACCGCATTTTCTTATTATTCTTTATCTACGAAAATTACCGCTGAATTAAGCGTCCCCTTAGGAACGTTAAACGGAATTCTCTCGCGTTCCACTGAGGATAGATGGAAAGCCAGGTGTAGGTATATGTTTTATACGTATTTAACCTCTTAATCGATAAAAGGGTCAAGTTGAGAACAACTTGATATATCGAGAAAACACTTAAGCTGATTTCGATTAGTTAAGATAGAAGAAAGCATTAAAATTTCAAAGTAAATCAGACACAACCTGGGATCTGCCCTGTTATTGACAGGCGTTTAGTGTGCACAGCAAAGGCTTTGTATTCTCAATGCTTAAGTATGTACTTAGAATTTACATATAACGACGGTAAAGAAGCATTAACGACGTACTTCAAGCCCGTATTCCACTAATGTTTAATTATTTTCTACCATGAAGCTTTATGTACCCGGTCGGCAAGGTTGTAACGCGTGCTTAGTAGCAAGTTTTACTGCGGTCACGATTTAATAAAATCTAACGCGGCACACGCACTGATGCCTTTAGTTTTACAGTTTTAGGAAATAAAAGCCACTGCCATTTATTATTCCAGTTTAACTCACTTTTTACGATTCGAATTTGTGCGGTTCCTAGCTAGCAAACAAGTGATGTGACGATTTGCTTAAAAAAAACTCTTACTTAAATAATGTAAATGTTTTACTATTTTATGTCATGTGAAAACCCTCACGGGTCATCACTGACTCAAGGTGAAGTAGTATGTGGGAATTGAACCGACTGAAACTATACGACATTCCGTCACAAGAGAATCTATAGAAAGGTAGAATAGAATAGAATAGAATAATCTTTATTGTACACCAATTCAGGATATTATACATACAATAGTATTCAGTGTTAATGACCATGTACAAATGGCGGCCTTATCGCTAAAAAGCAATATCTTACAGGCAACCTTTATCTTACAGGTATTCGGGTATAACCTGGGAAACTAATTTTGTTGCTATATTTCAGTAAACTATTTTTTTCATAAAGACAGTAACAAACAATGTTTTGCATTTGCATCGATTACTATGTGTACTAATATTATAAAAGACAAAGTTTGTGAGTTTGAATGTTTGGGGTAATCTCAGGAACTACTGGTTCGAATTGAAGAATATTTTCCGTGTAGGATAGCTCTTTAATCAAGGACGGATATAGACTATATAACATCACGAGGAAGCCATACAATAATTTAAACACAACTATTTCATGATAAATTCACGTCTAAAGATAGTGTGGCGACTTTAAAAATCAGCTATAACTAATCAACTTATAACGACCTGATCTTCGTAGTGACTACTGAAGGTACATTGATCATAACAACTTCTTGCGCAGATTTTCTACGAACTTCCGAAATCAACCGTGGTCCGCCAGGCATGATCCCAGACACCTTGCCTGGTCGCAGAATTCTTTTTTGTGTTGTAGAGACCTGTTTCTCGTAGATATCTATAGTTTTTAAGTAAATAAAACATACCACATACAACGAATCAAATTACACTCTTAAGTATATTAACAACAATATTCTTTTTTCATAAATTCATCACCTAAGAGAGTAGGACAATTATTAGAGTGACTCATAAGTCAAAAAAATATTATTAAAAATAAAAAGCCATACAAGAGAAAAACCGCGTACATATACACTACATAAACATACACATATGTCACTAGTGATCAATGTTGCAGATAAAGCCACAACTCGACGCAAAGGCAGACAAGGTTTCTCTTCAACCAATGGACTGTACGCATAGTAAACTGTATTTATATTATTTACACTGTATTTAACTCACTCAAGAGTTACAATTAACGAAGTCCCCTCTTTCCCAGAATTAATTGAGCCACACGCGACCATGTCTCTTGTATTTTAATGACTAAATAAAACAATAAAAGTAGCACTTTAAAATATGCCGATCTTGTTGATATCAAAATATATTAAACGAAATGCAGGTAAAACATTGTGAATAAAGGAGTGAGCATGTTTTAATTCTATTATTCACATCTCATTTAAGCGTTTATCAGATTGATTTAAGTAAGCAATTTGGAGCCATTCTGGAAGCGGGAATACCTCAACGAAATTAAGTGAAATGACCCAGACAATAGTGCGAACAGCATGCACCGTTGTTTGTTTCCAGTATGTCAACGTTATGGTAATGAAGTTTTGATCTTCACTGATTGACATGGGTGTTTGTAATACCTTTTTGTTAAATTTAATATAAAAATACAACTTTGAACTATAGTTTTTTTAGCAGCCGCTTATAATCGCATCGTTTTCATTTACACCAAATACACAACACAACAATTTGTGGATCACAAAAAGTGTCGTCCCATGTGGGGATCGGACCCACAACACTCAGCGTAGTAGTGAGCGGCGTGGCTTAAACCACTACGCCATCCGCACGGTCAGATTACAGGAATAATAACTATTTATTATTACTATAATATACTATTACGTCTATACGTAGTGTAATAGTCCTATCCATACATCCTTTCTAAACATTTGGTAGGTGTTGTGGTCTGCACTTGCAGTCAACTACATTGATACCTATAGTGTTAAGATGGACAGACCACGCATGCTGCGACTGAAGGCTTCAGTCATTTCAATACCTTTACGCGAGACAGAGTGTCGTAGAACAAAATTATTTCTTTAGGAGTATTTTAGGATAAAAATTAAACTGTTATAATTTGTAAACTCCTCTTATAGGTATCTGGAAGTAAAATACCTCTAACTAATTATTACAAATGGAAGTGAAACCTACAAAAGGAGTAATAGAATGATGAAAATAAAATATAAAAAATAATTTATTCTGTTTTAAGTATAACTTAAGGTAATACTTATAACTGAAGGTAATACTTTGAACGCATTTGAAAAAAAGGCCTATACGAACAATCGATTAGACATCATTGTTTTTTATTAATTTGCATTATCCAATTAAAAACTTATATTAAACATGTGATGTGATGTGATGTGAAATATCTGAATTTTTATATTTTGATTGTACTAAACAATCAAAATATAAAAATTCAGATATAAAAAGTAGGTATTTTATTCAAAATACATCGTAGTGTATTTATGAGTTAGCAGCTCCTTTATTCTAAAGTATCAAACCACATAACACACCGGTGGCTACTTTAATTACACTCCATGTTCCTTCGTCTTAGAAATAATTACTACCTTTTTCATACAAAATGAATACCAACTGTTTATTTTAAAAAGAAACCACCGAAAACCTTAGAAGTTACTTTATATTGTTGCATTCGTGTAGACTGCGGTTAATTATATGAAAACTGCCTCGTTGTAACAAAATGAGGACTGAATTTTCACTTTGTAAGTACTTACGAAGCCAGTAGTAACCTGGATAAATAAAAATTAAAGATAATTTTTAAAAGATGCTATATTTGGTAAAAAATAAACTACAAATAACACGTAAAACGTATTTATTTGTAAACGTTATTTACAATTAACTAATTATTTTTTCAGACTTATATCACTAAAACTTACTTTAAATTTGATTTCATATATTTACTTTCAGTTAATTGATTATTTTGGTACAATTACAGCGTAAAAGAAAACAACGAGTCTATTACATTTCCTTTATTTATGAAGAAAATATTACAAATAATGATATTATTTACAATATGGAATATGTCGACTTGCCAAGTTAAATGGTAAGTATGATGATAAAGTGGGAAATATTGTTCCTCTTCATATTCTTGCATTAATCGTTAATCTGTTACAATTTTCTTGCTTTATAATAATAAAACTACCAAAATTCATTGATGCGTTAATGTATTTTTACACGTGTAATGTAAGAAACTTAAATTCCACAATTACGCATACTTCGAAATGATAAAGAGATATGAAAATGACGTATTAGATATGACGAAAAGAAAACATGAAGATGAAATCATCACAATTGACATGATAAAAAAAATGTTTGTGAATTTACTACTTGGAAACTAATAATTAATAGTATTTACATTTCAATGATGATTTTAATTTATAACGTTAAAAACACTGAAAATACAACGATTCAAATAAATTGCCGAAGACTTAGATATTGTCTTATGTCTTAATATAATTTGAAATAACTTTATATGATATTCACGTACTGAAATTATAGCGTTTTTTTTTTACATTACAAGTAATAGTAAAAATTAAACTATTTGTTGCAGTAAGAGAGACTTATTACAATAATTCGTTTCTTTATACGTCACTTTTACTTAATCTAGTTTTAAAAAATTAGTTAGTGTTAATGCAATGCATTTAAGCAAAAATATTAACATGATTCGAATGGTCATCTCGTGACAAATCTTCTAATATAGTAATTGTTCCATAGAGGCTTGATTTTTGTCACGAAATCTAAAAATAACGTATCCTGTAATAATATAAGAAATTGTAATATTTTGTTGAGGAAAATTGTTGATCTTTTGTGACACGATCTAAACGATAGAAGAATCAATAGCGGTAGCGGTGCTATCTTCTGACTGTTGCTCTGCATGGCGGCTGGACGCTCCCCGTTCACAACATGGACCACCACTGAAGCCGAATCTATAGCAAAAAAAAAGAATCGGCTTCACATAACTTTAAGAGGGGAAATGAAAATGCAAGAAAAATGTCCCAAAACGGAAATTAAATCATACGACAAGGATTTATTTGTATGAAAAACGTAAAAAAGCCCATAACAGTCTGCTCTCCGATTTGCAAGCCACACACGTAACTGAATAAGATTCCCTTTTTTATTTTAAAGAATTATGTATAATACATAAATGGAGTGTAAGGAATACAAATGGGTGATAAGAAAGCTGAATACATAGTGTATTTGAACACGTTGATTCAGTACTTGAGAGAAAAAGGCGTGGAAAAAGACAAATGGTTTAAAAACGGCTATAGACAGAGATAAGTAGAGTGTATGCAGTGAAAAATGTGGGTGTACCATAATTGACTAGATGGAGGTCTACGGTAGGAGGAACGCTTTTTATATAACTCATACATCCCACTTGGGGAAAATAATAGGACGCTTTGTACGGTTGCTTCTTGTAAGCTTTAGAAAAAAGGGTTGAAATAAGGAACAAAGGCATAGGTTAGCCGTTTTACTTACACAATAACTTCGCTTTACGTTGTTTGAGGAAACAACGCTATAACTTCAGCTTTGTATTTACTTTAATGAACTGTATGTAGAAACTCATGATCGTAGAAAAAGCTTTTTATTCGTTATTCGTACGACTTAAGAAGCATCAGTGTATACCCAAATATAGCAACCTATGATTTGTATGTATGTTAATAAAATATAAACAATTTTGTTGTTGATTGAGTTATTATGTGGAAGAGATATTTCACAGCTCAACCAACTACGATTCGACAAAACGTTACGCATGGCTCGAAGTTTTTAACATTAAAATTGGAATCTTGGGGTGTTTTCTGAATAAAACGTAGACATAGTAGATGTAGACACCTATATAAACTTATAAAACCAAACTTCATGTTAGCCGTTTTTTAATCAAATACAGGATATGTACAGAAATTGTTTATCTAAACTTGTTACATTATTGAAATAATTAACAGAACAACTGGAACGGTTTTAGCTTAAATTATATCGATAAGAAACATAACTCATAACAAAACTAATGAGTACTAAACTAAGTAACTTAAGATTAACAATAAATAAACAAATGAAAACCGTTAATGAATTTTATGAATATATTTATAACTATGACTTATTAATATTGCTAAAACGCCTAGTTGAATTACACTTTACTTCGGTTTCGCATAGTTAAATACCTTAGATTGTCTTTAGCTATTAGAAAAATTCTAATCACAAGTTCACGAGACAGGTAATGTATTTATTTAAATAGGCTTTAACGCAAACACTTAAGGAACAATTTGTCACAACATGATATTTACCTGAGCTGCTAGGCGCGCAAGTGTAGTTACCAGAATCTCGAGTTGAGGCGCGAGCTATGAGCAATCGACTGGTACGGGTGCGTTGTTCCGTCTCGACGCTTATACCGCCCCTTTGGGCGTAGTTCACGACGTTGGATCCTCGGTACCAGTAAATGAAACTATGAAACAAATATAAAATGACATCTTTAACTTAAGTGTAGTAACTCAGTAATAAATTCAAAGCAATATACGAGTATTTTATGACATACGTGTTTTGTTTTAGTATTTTGTAGGACTAGTACGCAATGTAAGTATACGTTTTTTTTTATGGAAGAGGGGGTAAACGAGCAAACGGGTCACCTGATGGAAAGTGACTACAGCCGCCCATGAACGTAAAATACAAATTCATGTTACTCTCGTACGACTTGGATGAAATTATGTATTTTTTAATAAAACACCATATACGTATCTGGTTATTACATTTGTAGATTCAGAAGTTTTAAACCAAATTAAAAAATAACCAATGAAAATTTTATGTCCTATTTGTATAATGGCGCTCGCTTGATTTGGGTATTTTAAAATAGTAGTGAAATTTATTCACTATAATTGACTGGATTGTTTAAATATTATTACGTAGACAAGTGTCTAAATATATGTAGGTATAACAGTCACTGTAATTTAAACAATGTGTAAGATAGAAATGTCTACTTCATAAAAAAAGTAAATAACTGAAGGTGAAGCAAAATTTGTACGATTTCTTCACGTAAAGATTATTGCTTGTATTTGTTTGCTTTGTATTGTCTGTCACAACGTTTATAACAAAATGTTGAGTATGAATTTATTTTATCTTTTTAACACACTTTGAAAAATAAAATAAGCAAATATGCTTATTTATATATTAAAGTGTAATCAAATTAAAACAATTGAGTGACTTGCCCTGTTTATGTTAAATAAAAGAATGTTGAAATAAATTTATAAGTAACGTAAGACACCTACCTGGGTGGATCTGGAGCGTGTCTGGCGATGCAAGTGAGATTAATATCAGAGCCCGCTCTCACGAACAATTCCGGACCCGAAAGGATTTCTGCTTTTGATACTGAAACAAACGATAGAAAGAATACCAAATTACTTGAACACTATTATATTTCTATTGACTGTACGGATATCGTAGTGGTTTAAGCGGTCACCTCGCCGCTTCCTACTTTTGAGTGATACACAAATTGTTGTGCTGCGTATGGTTTTTCTTTATGTTCGTAATATAAATCTTTGTAAAGTTCCCCATGACACAGGATATATTCCTAGTTGTCTTGAAAAAATACTTATTCGCATACTTAGCAATAAAATAACCACCATGTAAGAATTTTCTTGGACAGTGTCGGGTGACGAAAATGGTGTGGGCAAAGTAAATCTACGTTTGCACACTACATACCAATCTAACTTTGTAAAAGCAATTTAGTCGCAACGTCCAGGTCAGTTTTACACAACACCATTAGAAATGAATGTGTGCAGTTTATTTAGTGTATTTAAACAATATACTATTTTAGTTTGTTTATATAACCTGTCTCTGACATAGGCAACCTTCTGAAGAATATGTGTGGGCAAACTGATTTGTTGTTTATTTAGATATTTACTCACAGATCTATTGAGAGAAAGTACAATAATATAAAATCTTGTTTTATATTATATAGCATTTGTTATTAAAGAACTTAAATAAAAGCTGGGTTGCAATTCGATTGTATTTTTTATGTTTGGGATTGGCGTTTTTTTCTTGTTGCTTATTTGGTCCCATTCAAGTTGGAAAAAAATAAAGAATATGGTAAATAACTCATGATCCTGTAGGCGCATTGGAGTTTGTCATGGTTTAAAGAAAATACTTATTAAGAAAAACAATTGACGCCTCTATACGGAAATAAAAAAGAAATACAGGATCTTCTGCAAAATATGTTCGCAGAAGGGTCACAACGGTAAAACCCGACCGTGTTTTTAATATTTATACTTATGTATGTATGTTTATGTATTGTATGTAGTATTGTATATATAGTTATGGATATATTATTTTATTTGTGTATGTTATACCTAGCTTAGATTTAGCTTAATTTGATAAATTTAATTTGAATAATCAAATTTTATATTCTAACTCTGCACCTACCGCATCATGTGTCTACATCACCCGAAGTCGACTGAGAGAGAATGCTCTGGGCATTAAGTCCGCCTGTGTACAACTTGTGCTTTTTTTTAATAAAGAAATAAAAATGGATTCGTTTCTTTTACTATCATATCATTTCGCTTACTAAGTAGTTGATAGGTTAATACAAATAACTTGTGATTAGACAAGAAGAGTAGTTACTTCATCAACAGCCTTTACTAGTCCACTGCTGGACATAGCCTCTCCTTAGAAAGGAGGTTTAGTAGTAGTACAAGAAAGAAGAGTAAAAAAGAGTAGTTACTTAATCATTAATAATTATATATTACTACTAATATATTAGCTTATGCAATAATGTCATAGACATTAATAGATCTATCACAAACTATAGGAGGTTATGGCAATAATTTCAATAAAAAAATTTAGTTAATGATCAACTATATAAAATCTCTCTTCGAAACTATCTTATTCTACTGAGTTATATCTATTTTAAGGGAATATTATTAATCTGTGCAACTATTTTTAGAACAATAATTTATAGAATAACTATGACGAACATATTAAAAAGTCCAAGGATCTGAGATTTTCATGTCCATAATATATTTATAAATAAAAATATATTTAATACATTTCAAACACGAGATAAATATCTATCAATAATATTATCTATTATCGCACACACAATAAAAAATATAACTCTGATTAAGTATAGTATAGTAAGTATTATAACTGTACATTTTATATGATTATTGAGACTGGTCAAAAATACAACCCACATATAAAATATCCTTCCAAGCCCTTCAAGACAAACGACTGTACCAAAAAACAAACATATTGTTATTGTTGTACATTTACTAAACGAAATTATAATTTACTAATATTTCTGGCTAATCCACACGTACGTGTGGATATTATACCACTAACAATGACGTTAGCGGTGTAGGGGAGAAGCACCTTCGACGGATGGAGAATATGTATTTGCTAAGATATATTGAGTTTATGATAATCTGGTCAATTTTGAAATATTTAAATTCTAATATGCTTGTGGACACCAATATGCGACTGTACCTGTTTTCTCGCATTCACATTCAAGATGATTGTGAAATGTTTTCTTTAGTTAATGAAATGTTAGTGTATAAATGATCAGAATAATGTCTATTACTGAATTGAACTGTTTTATAAATATTGGGTATTATGTGACTATGCTCCAGATCAGTAATAAATAGACAAGCATTTTATGAAGAGTGATTTTTTTGAATACATTTGTATATAATTAATTATTTCATATATGTTTATAAAATATTTCTATGTTGTTTTTTTTTCTGTTATGAGTATTCATTCTGAATGTCAACAATCGCAACTATCTATCCACCACAATAATATATTATGTTGCTCTTTGCCTTATACGCATAGTCTAAATTGAAACGGGATTGTTTAGTAAACACACCCGACACTGATTAAAACTTAACACGTGTTTGTATTTCAAGTTGATTTAGGTTACATCATAATGCAACAGTTTCGGGAAATTAATTTTCACGGATCAAAGATGATGGCTGCTGACAGATCCTACATTATTAAATACCAGCCGTACTCTACCACGCTTCGCTGTAGCACACTGTGGTAGCATTGATAAGAAATGAGGAAAGAAAAGTGATAAAAACAATCTCTGAAGCGGTTTGTGTATCGTGTGAAAATTTGAGCTCAATCGGTGTAGAACTTTTGGGTTTTGAAGCGTACACAAACCAACTTATCATTTATATATATACACATAAAAGTAACATTGAGTCTTGCTCCAGTTAATCTATAATCGTGTATCAAAAGAGTGTTTATAAAAAATACGAGCTCTGATGACACTTATTACCATCAGAGAATAAAATACTAGGAATATTAGGTAAGTGGTATGTGGTATGTTTTTAAAGGAGGACTATAAACAGTTTTTAATTCATTATTATACCTCAAAATTATGGAAAAAATCCAAAGTGAACTTAACTTCAGTTCGTGTTAGATTTTTAATTCTGCAAATATGTACAACATACAATATTCTCACAATATATTTCTTACGAAATTTTATTCTTACCTACAACGGTGAGTCTAAAAGACAAACTAATTTTCGGCTCAGTAGACACTTGGCACTCGTAGGAGCCAGAATCGCGTGGTTGCGCCGGCGCCACGCGCAGCGTCCATTCATCCGAGCCATCGGTATGTAACGCTGCAAAGCGCGCGTCACTGCTGTATGTGTGCACGCCAACTGTTAGAATGTGAAGGTCTCGTTTACGTATCCATGAAACCTGAGGACAAATAAAATGTACTATCATTGTAGCATTCACGTATTTGCTTCTCTAACTACCATACGTCATTATATATCAACATTGAGGACACAAACAGTGGTAATTCATATGTAACATTGGTAGGTCATTTGCACTCATATGCCAATAAATAAACTATGAAACATGTTTTGTGAGACTTTTCAACGACTTAAAAAGAGGAATAAAAACCATCCCCAGCATAATGTAAATGAAAGCTGTTTTTTTTTTTTGTATTTTTTAGAAAGACTACTTCCGCACTAGGAGTATATCCTGTGTAGCGGGGACTTGACAGACGGACACAAAGAACACCCAGACTCAGAACAAAAATTTATGGATCGCGCAAAGTGTAATCCTAAGTGGGGATCGAACCCACAACACTTAGGACAGTAGAAAGCGGTGAGGTGACCGTTTAAACCACAACGCTATTCGTACAGTCAATATGATAGTAAGTCTTTCAATTGTAATACAACATACACACACAACATAGTGGTGGGTTCCTCAAAGGAATTCTAGAGGCCGCTGTTCATAAAAATAATCAAAAAATAAACAGCACTAAACTATTAAACACGGCCTTTGAGTCAAGGAGGTCAAGAGACGCATTCATTACATATTTGTAGGAACATCCCCATTATGACTTTGCAACGCTATACTTAAGAGAGACAGAATTCTTCAAACTATAATCAACCTACGTAACATTTCAATAATTTCTATTTTCAATTACTTGCGGTTATTATGATAGTATTCGACGCGCAGTTAATTAAAAAGGTAATTGTTTTTTTTTAGAAAAGAATGAACCACTATTTTCAGTCCATTCGTAGAAGTTGACATCTCGCTATTATAGACATCCCTAACAATCCACTATTATAAGAGGTAGTTCTGTATACATATTTTGATTGTGATTTTAATGCACCAATTCAAAAATAGCTTAGCAATTTGTTAGTTTCGTCTAATCTCTTTTATACTTAACAAATTTTGACGCTTATACATTAGAAAACTATATCTACTCGACTGCACGAATGGCGTAGTGGTTTAAGCGGTCGCCACGCCGCTTCCTACTACGCCGAGTGTTGTGGGTTCAAACCCCACATGGGACGACACTTTGTGTGATCCACAAATTGTTGTTCTGAGTCTGGGTGTTCTTTGTGTCCGTTTCATGTATGTTTGTAAAGTCCCCGCGACACAGGATTTATTCCTAATGCGGGAGTTGTCTTTTTAAAAAGAATATCTAAGGGAAAATAAAAATTATAAAAAATAGGAACATAATAATAATAAATATAAAGCTTCCTCTGTTTAACCCTCACGGTTTTTCTTATATGTAGAAAAATAGTAGTACATTCACATTCTTGTGAAACAGCTTCTACAAAAAATTGTAATGAGAAAAGAAAACTAAAATTTAAAAAAATAATAAGTAATAATATGTCATATCAGCTTCTACACAGTAAGTATCTGATTTTGAGTTTACAGTGTACACACGTAAACAAAAATAATACAAATATATAAAAATTGAAAAGTAATTTATTTACTTGTTTTTTCTTATGAGAAATGCTCCTCATATACTAAAATATATTTTGAACAGCATAGTCCGAACAGTGTAAACTAAAAGCATTTCAACAAAGTACACCAAATACAGTACATCAAAGTTGCCGTAAAGCTCTCTTCTACCGAACGACACTTAATCAAAATCTGCTGGTACGGTTACTAAGCTGCCTAGTGGAGAGGCGGTCATTTTAAACAATGGCGGTCCACATGAGCCTTCGATTAAATGCAACGCTAGCCAAGAGCACAATAGGGCGTCGACCGTGGTACTGCATCACTGTAATTTGCTGTTCTGCTAACTTTGCGATGTTGGCAAGATAACAAGAAGCAAGAAAGAACAAACAAAGGTTTGAAAAGTTTTAACAAAACTTTGCACTCAAAAAGTAAATAGAAGAAAAATAATGTAACCTCAAAAGTAATGTATGGTGGCGGTGTTACCAGGTAATTTAAAATTAAAAGCGGTAGATTATTTTGATTACTTTTGGGGTGCAAACGTGCGGGTGTTCGTGTTCGGTTTATAAACGTCAACTGGCCGGTAACTACCGACCGCATAAAAAATGTATATACCTATGTATATACGCGCATATTATCACAAATAAATACAGTTGGTTTAGCACATATATATCAGATGAGTTTTGATAAAAGTTAATAATACAGTATGAGTTAGGTAAGGTACATAAAAATAAGTTTCGCAAACAAACAAGTATAATATGCTCACCGTGGTCTGTGGGCGCATGCAACACCCCCAGGGTGTCACTTTCACTTACGAGTCGTTACTAAAATATCTTTATATTAACTTTATATATAACTGTGTTTATTAAAGCAATGATCAATGAAACTACAATTTAATTAACTTGAAATTTCTACTTAATTTTCAAAATAATCATTTAAATAAAATCACCATTATAAAACAGTGCAAAGTTGTTAGCATAATTACTGCTGCAGTCGTGAATAATGGAGTATTGTACGTTCATTGTCAGACAAACTGTTTTAGTATGTAATTACTGTAAGGATGTGGTCACTTTGTAATTTAAAAAATCCTCGTACCGATGCATATTTTAAAGAAATCATAATGGTAAAATTCAATTTTCCACTAATTTCTGCTTTAAAAAATATTACAAAGTTATTTTACACAATAGTCAAAGATGAATTAATATTAAAATAAATAAAATAAATAAATAACCTTTTATTCCATTCTTATTATTCAATTAATATTACCCGCGGCTTAACTACAACAATAAGTAAATTTCTTGTTTCGTGTCTTTAACTTTGAACATTGCCAACTTCCATACAACCATTTATTCCTTACTTTATTGTCTTAGAAGTGAAAATTCTATTTATAATAATATCCTTATTTGCATAAAATATGTAGATTTTAAGGGATTTAAAAATAAAAACAGGTTGGAAATCTTCATTCAGATACAAGTTATTGACTATTACAATTACCACAGAAAAAGCAGCAAATTTTTATCGTTACCATTTTTCATTGGAACACTGATTGGATCGTACAAGCAGCACGATCCAACTAGCTTGTCTGTACCGCTGATGCATATCATGCCATCGCAGATGAAGCAATCAATATGCGGTAATGACATGATCCATTTTCAAACAGTTCTAGTCAGATCCACACAAGACATATATGTATATGGATTTATCGTGATTTCTGTGAAGACGCCTCGTGCTGCGGAATATGCAGAATTGCATAGTTTTGGTTGTTGTTGTTGTGATTTACATACTTATATTGAATTGTATTGGAATGGAATTGAATGTTATTTTATTTATTTATGTTGTAATGTAAATCAAAAAGAAACTATGTGTAGAAGATTATTAATAATCTTTACATAGTATAAAACAAAGCCGCTTTTTTGTGTTGTACGCTTAGATCTTTTAAACTAAGCAACGGATTAAATATTGCAAATAAAGATGTCCAGGATTTTAGTCCTATTATTAGGTTCTTACATATGAAATTAGTGTTTTGTCGTACTGACCACTTTGATTTGAAATATCTTCTCTTTGGTTAAGAATTCCAAATTCAAATTTATAAATTCATTTAGCTGGTACATTTGAATTTTGAAAACAGTTATTCATTTGTTTTCTCCTCATTTTTTTTTTCTTTGGCGTCGCTTATTACCACACAATTGAAAACATGAACTATCGGTATATTTACGATTACGAGTTCTACCGTGGCACCAGTGCTGCAGAAACAGCTTGAAGGATTAATGATGTATGCGGCGCTGGTGTGACAATGTGTGAAAGCACGTTACGTTTCAACGTTTTCGTTTTGTAAATTTCGACCTTCAGAACCAACCCCGTGGACGGCCGGCGATCAAAGTGAAAAATGAAGAATTAAAGGCTATTGTGGAAGCGGATCCACCACAAAGCACTTCAGAGATAGCTGCAGGTTTCGGGGTAAGTGATAAAACTGTATTAATCGCTTGAAGCAAATCGGGAAAGAAAAAAAAATTTGAACGATGAGTACCGACACAATAGTAAAGGGATTATAAATCGAATCATTACGTGTGATGTGTGGATACTGTAAGATAATCGGAAGCGCTCGTCGCAATGTCTGAACCCTGGAGACCCACCCAAATCCTGCCCTAAACGAAAATTGACTCAGAAAAAGTTACTTGTGAGTGTTTGGTGGACTAGCGCCGGTGCCGTTCACTACAGCTTTATAAAATCTGGCCAAACGATTACGGCAGATATCTATTGTCAGCAACTGCAACCCATGAAGTAAGAACTAGCTGCTAAACAACCGAGATTGGTCGATCGCTCTAGGCCACTGCTGCTTCACGACAACGCAAGACCACACACTGCACAACAAACAACCACTAAGTTAGATGAGCTACAATTGGAATGTCTGCGACATCCACCGTACTCCCCGGACTTTGCTCCAACATATTTCCCTTTTTTGTCCGGAATTTGGACAACTTCTTATAAGGAAATATATTCAACTCCGATGCGGCAGTCTAAACCGCCTTAAAAGAGTTTATTGATTCTCGCCACCAATGTTTTTTTTAGCAAAGGGATCAATGAAATACCTACGAGATGGCAAAAGTGCATAGATAACAACGGTGCATACTTTGATTAATTAAATATATTTTACAAAACGCCAATTTCATATGTAAGGACCTAATATATTAATAGTATAATTATTTATTCCACACTTACACCATATTAGTAGTATTATTGATATCTACATTGCACCCGTGCAGTGCCAGGGCGGGTCGCTAGTATTGAATAAAATATATAGGGAGCCTGCACACCAACAAGCTGTCGTACAGTTACGCAGAAGTTTGTAATCTATATTAATGTAAGATATAATTATGTAGGTATATGTAGAAAATAAACATTCATTCATCCACTTGTTATGTGGCTAAAACAAAATCGTATTTTCAATTAAATAATATACTTCAGAAATAAGGATTCAAGTTAAAACGTAGACA